ACCCCGCGCCGCGTCCCCTCGGAGCCGCACTGTAACACCGCACGGGCCCGCCGGACCGGGAACCGGGCCGCTCTGCCCCGGAACCCACTAACCGCTCCAGCCAAGAAGCCAGCGCCAAGCAACTTTATTGTAAAGGAAAAATGAAGTTCTTCTAGAGCAAAACAAATGGTTTCTCAGGCATGTAGAACACAGAAATGACATTTTCAGCAATTTTTCGTACTGGCATTTCTTCTGTGACTTCCACCAAGTGAACACAGATGACGTCTTGTACTCACGTACTCGAGGCCACTCTGCCCAGACGCCCAACATGCCGCTGAATAGCCCCCTCAATACAGGCAGCACAGCTCGTCCCCTGCCTGCCAACGCCCTGTGAAAGGCTGGGAGTTAGGCTAGTGACACAACAGACAAATAAATCAGAAATGTAACAAAATAAAGTTCTCTAAAGCTGAATACTGGCCAACGGAATGAAGAGGGATGAGGGGAAATGTGTTGTGACGGCAGGTCATGCTCCGCATTTTGCTTCTTCCTGGGCAAAGCTATTTCAAAATCTGGAAGTCCTCATGCTCCAGTGCTGTGATCTTCTTCTCATTGCTGAACTCGGCGTGGCTGATGCGGGACTGGGGACTGCCGATCTTCCTGAGCCATTCCTGCAGCTCCTGTACCCTCGCAGTCGGACCCTGAATCTGCCCTCTCACAGTTCCGTGGCTAGTGTTCTGGACCCAACCAACGAGTCCTAGCCTCTTAGCCTCCCCCTGAGAAGACAATGCAGAGCAAAATGAATCATAGAATGCTTAGGTTGAAAGGGACCTCCAAAGGTCATCTAGTCCAACCTCCCTACTATAAGCAGGGACACCTCCAACTAGATCAAGCTGCTCACAGCCTCATCAAGCCTGACCTTGAATGTCTCCAGGGATGGGGCCTCCACCACCTCTCTGGGCAACCTATTCCAGTGATCTATCACCCTTATATTAAAGAACTTTTTCCTAACGTCTAACCCAAATCTCCCCTTTTCCAGCTTAAAGCCATTACCCCTCGTCCTGTCACTACAAACCCTTGTGAATAGCTCCTCCCCTGCTTTCCTGTAAGCCCCTTTCAGGCACTGGATGGTCGCTATAAGGTCTCCCCAGAGCCTCCTCTTCTTCAGGTTGAACAACCCTCCAAAAAATGAGATTCATATGAAATGGAAGAGAGCTACAGAACATTCACATACAGAAGCCAATTTCCTAGGCAAGACACAGACTTCCAAGACGCCCCTACGGATCAGGTAGCGGCAGAGGTCACACCGGACTGCTCAGTAGATTCCTTCCCATGAAAAGCCGGGGCTCGGGGACACTTCCCAGCGGTGCTCA